TTGTGTCTCACATCTGTCCACCTTGTGTCTCACATCTGTCCACCTTGTGTCTCACATCTGTCCACCTTGTGTCTCACATCTGTCCACCCTGTGTCTCACATCTATCCACACTCAGTCCCACTTCTGTCCACACTTTGTCCCACATATGTCCACACTTTGTCCCATATCTGTCCTACACTCAGTCCCACTTCTGTCCACACTTTGTCCCATATCTGTCCCACACTCAGTCCCACTTCTGTCCACACTTTGTCCCATATCTGTCCCACACTCAGTCCTACTTCTGTCCACACTTTGTCCAGATCTGTCCACATTCAGTCCCACATCTCTCCACACTTTGTCCCATATTTGTCCCACACTCAGTCCCACATCTGTCCACACTCAGTCCCACATTTTCCACACTTTTCCCCACATCTGTCCACATTTTGTCCCACATCTGTCCACATTTTGTTCCACATCTGTCCACACTCAGTCACACATCTGTTCACACTTTGTCCACATCTGTCCATATTCAGTCTCACATCTGTCCACACGTTGTCCCACATCTGTCCACATTCAGTCCCACATCAGTCTACAATCATTCTCTCATCTGTCCACACTTTAACACAAGTTTTCTTATGTTTSACATGATCTAGAAACTCCACAGAACTCAGTCCCGGTCAGATTCTGAGGGAAATAAACTGTTTGTAAAATCACTAAACGCTTGAAGCTCAGAGTTTACAAGAAAACTGGTTTCTGTAYTTAACTGTTGATTTTTAGCTTCAGGGATGTTTTCATTCTCTCAGTCGCGGGATCTAAATCCCACCCTGCATGTGAATCTGTGCGTCAGCGGGAAGCTCTCCGAGGGGCGGGACGAACCGAGTCAAGTTCGGATCCTGTCGAGTGTGAGCGCAGCGCCACAGCGAGAGGGACAGCAYCGGGGGAGAGAAGGGTTCCTTTTTGTTTCATGCCATTTTTTTCTTCACTCATCAGTTAAAGCGACTGTTTTCCTGCTAGTTTAAAAACCAGATTATCCAATCCGGACAGRGGCAGAGATGAAACCTGACACGAGACGGACTTTTCTGCTTCTTCTCATCTGTTTGCAGACACAAGGTGAGCGGGACTCATTCACATTTACATGTTAGGCTTTATGTTTCAGGGAAACCTGAGGAGTTTAGAAGGAGTAACTCTGGGTTTCTGTCTGATTAAAGCATGAAGTATTTCCTCAAAACGTTTCCAAAAACTTTTTATGCTTCAAACGTTTGAATTCACGTGATGGTGGATTATTTTGCCAGTAGATCTTTAAAAATACAAATGATTTGTTAGATTATCATTTTCTTTTTAACTTTCCAACAGCGGAATCATTTCAAAATCATAGAATAAAATAAAAAAAAACATAAAAGTTTATATTAATTTTTATGACCAATTCTGCAATTGATATAAAAAAGTCATGCCATCCTTTGGCCATAAACATTACAATTATTTGCTTTTATTTTTTTTCAATAAAAAATGTAACAACTACTTGATGAAAATCATCTGCTGCCTTTCATGTCAGAGTTGCAGATCAATTTATGTCATAGAATACAGTTGTTTATGTTAATCTCAAACATATCATAATACCAGCTCTTGTTTTATGTCTTTTTACTTTTGTATAACCTGTAGTGCCAAAGCATTTGATGGGACTTTCAGACTCTCACATCAAAATTTAGCTCAATATCTGTAAAAAATTGCTGTTGTAAAGTCATTTTTGTGTTTGCTAAGTTTAACTCTCTGTGGCATCCATCTTAAATTGGGTCAATCCTAGAAATAAATCAATTACAGATGGACATTCCATAAATATTTTCCTAAAAGTTTTATTGAAATTAGTCCAGTGGTTGATGAGATATTTTACTAACAGACAAAACGTATTGATTCCAACAGCTATAGCCATGGTTTTAAGTAAACATGTAACACAATGCTAAAAGTGTAAGAATAATGCTCTGCTACAACAATGCTAAACTTTAACACAATATCTGTAAATTTGACTGAGCTACAGTCATTTRTGTATTTTGTATGGTCATTTGACTGTGGTGGTCATTTTGAATTGAGATAACTTTCAAAGGTTTTCACTTGTAGATGTACAGCTAATGACAGCTTAGTGCAAGTTTTGTTTAAATCCATCCAGTGCTTCATGAGCTTTTTTGCTAACAGACCATGTTGAGTCATGTGATGACAAAGCTTTAGGCTGATTGCTCATACAGTTAGAATGCAAGGCTTAAATTGAGGCTCAGTCTCAGCTACTACCACACCAAACATTTTCCACAAAAGGTGTAAAATTTACTATTTTATCACATTTTTGTGAGTTTAAAATTGTTTTCCTGYGGTGGCCATCTTGAATTAGGGTCACTCTATAAGTTAATCAGTTGTAGATTTCTAAAGAAGGTGTTTTTTTCTGAGAGTTTCATAAAAATTGATTCAGTGTTTAATGAGATATTTGCTAACAGTGTATATAAATTAACACACACAAAGCGAGTCGCTCCATGTTGGGTGGAAAATAAAGAGAGATCTGCTTGTAGCTGCAGCAGCATCTGCATGTTAMTTTTAAATCAGAACTGTTTGATGATGATGATGATGGTGTTTTCAAAAGTGAAAAATATCAATTTCCGTATATAAATAATAAATAAATCCAACTTTTCCCACCATGATTCAACACAAACTAGGTCGGGGAAATGAAATGCAGAAGAATTGGAGAAAAGGCAAATGAATTTTGATCAATGCAAATAGTTTCTCTGAGGCCAGATTTCTCAAAAGCACGACAGATTAGGATTTGTTTGCAGGACATGTTTCCCTGTTTACCACTGCAGTGAGTCGGTGGGTTAAGGGGGCTGTGCCAACATTGTTTATGGAAACAGAGCAGGTTGGAAGTTTACAGTTGGGGGGGGGGGTGTAGAGTGGGAGGTGAGTCATCTGAAGACATTCGATAAAAACCTTCTCACAGCAACGTGTGCAGCTGATGACCTTTACTTTTTATGAGCACAGCTTGATTAAAAAATAACTTGTATTAACTTTTTATTTCCTGTGATTCCTTGTAAAATATAAATAAAAACCAACAGCTTTTAATGGAGTCAGTGATTCTGTACTGAAGCCAAAATTGGTAAAGAATTTCCTGAGGAGGTCTACTGCAAAAGATAAAATAAAATACATACGGCAAAAATAAAT